CCTTTTAAATAGAAATGAGGATTTTTAAATGGAAATCCAAAATGATAATATCATTGCCAGAACTCTACAAATCATGACAAACTGGGTGTTTTCAAAAAGATGTTCAAGATTTAATTCGGAATTGGTGCCAAGAATTCAGAAGGCTTTCATCGCGCTGTTCAATTTCCGAATCTTGTATTGTCTAGCCTAAAAGCTTTTGTCTTACGCTACTTCTTCGGCACCAATTCTACTAAACATTTGGAGCTAGAGCGAACCAAGCAAGGTAGCAGTATTTTTTTGGGACTGCATTCAGGCGTCTTAACCATTCTTCGCAGATCACCCGCTTCTCGGCCGCATCATAATCCTCCAGACTGTCGTGTTGAAATTTGAACAAATCGTTCGTTGTCCAGTTGTCACCCTGAAAATCATAGTGAATGTGCTTTCGCAGCGTTGTCTGTCTCCCTCCTCCTCAACATTTAGCTAAAAAACAACAATACGTCCATGAAGAATCATGAAATTGGTTAGCTTACCTTACGCCTTAATCTTTCCAACTCGTTTGTCGGCTTGTTTCCTAATTTTGATATCACTCGTCTCAGTGGTTTAGCTGCAAAACATATTAACTGCCTTCACATTTACAGTGCAGCATCCAAAAGCTGATTACTAAAGCACTTGATAGTTTAGAGTTGATTGCTTTGCTGCGAGCTCTTGTAAATGGAGGAGAAAATTGTTAAGGAAAAAACTGTGAATGACGCGAACATTGGCTGCTCAACAAATAAAACATATTTTCCCAGTTCAATACATATGCCGGTTAAAATGCACACGAGGCAAAATCATCCCATATCGCCCAAGTTTTTTCACGTTCTACTTTAAGATTGTTTTATGCAAAAACTGAATTGAAAAAAGGGACTGGAAATTATTGGCGGGCAGCTAAATCATCTACGTGTCGCAGATGGACAGTTCTTTTTGGGAGTGGAAGTATGCAGTTGAAGATCGAAAAACTACTAATTAGAATCGTGCAGCTGGGGATCGAAGGGTCAGGTACAGTTGCTTTCGGCGATTCAGTAGCATCCCTAAAGATTTGGTTGTTCCTGGCAATTTTGTATTCATCGCTATCTGATTACCTCGCAAACACTTTTATATATTCAAATTTTGTTTGCAACTGAAGGCAGTAAAGTTCGAAACCTGGAGGAGGCTTCAACTTTAAACGGCACAGTTTTTTTCCTTCAGATTCAACACATAATAATGGAGAGCGCAAATATCGTTCCGTTCTTATTTGACATCCCTAAAATTTACATTGTCACATCAAATGATAAATGAGGGTGCTATTATAATACTCTTTTTTCAAATGACTCATCTACGCAGTTCATTTTTCTGAACTTCAACATAATTATTTATAAGAATTTTGAACATGACAGTGGTCAAATTCAAAGCGTGAATTTAGTATTCTTCTTATGCCTCCCTACCAGTTTGTAGCTATTGCTATCATGCTTCTGGAAGATAGAGTCGAAGTTCTGTAATTTTTTTTATACATTTAGCACATGTCTGTACGTATTGCGAATTGTTCTTGCTTGTACGAAAGGTGCTGAACTATCTTTCAGCAGCTCCGCGTTTAGATGAGCTTTTTAACATCATGATTTCCCAAAATTCTGTTGAAAATTCATATGGCAATTTGGTGGTGCGAATGTATTTCGCCTACCGACAGTTTTCAACCT